TGAATATGAGCGTGCGCTCATATTCTCAGTTCGCTCAAAGATTCCTCTGCTGCGGCTGGCCGAGCATGCGCGTGCGCGCATGCTCTCAGTTCGCTCAAAGATTCCTCTGCTGCGGCTGGCTGAACATGCGCGTGCGCGCATGTTCTCAGTTCGCTCAAAGATTCCTCTGCTGCGGCTGGCTGAGCATGCGCGTGCGCGCATGCTCTCAGTTCGCTCAAAGATTCCTCTGCTGCGGCTGGCTGAACATGCGCGTGCGCGCATGTTCTCAGTTCGCTCAAAGATTCCTCTGCTGCGGCTGGCTGAGCATGCGCGTGCGCGCATGCTCTCAGTTCGCTCAAAGATTCCTCTGCTGCGGCTGGCTGAACATGCGCGTGCGCGCATGTTCTCAGTTCGCTCAAAGATTCCTCTGCTGCGGCTGGCTGAGCATGCGCGTGCGCGCATGTTCTCAGTTCGCTCAAAGATTCCTCTGCTGCGGCTGGCTGAGCATGCGCGTGCGCGCATGCTCTCAGTTCGCTCAAAGATTCCTCTGCTGCGGCTGGCTGAACATGCGCGCGTGCGCATGTTCTCAGCTCGCTCTTGCTCTCAGGCCCGCGCAGTACGTCCTGCTATCCCAATCGCAGGCCCGCTTTTGGGGATCATGCACGCGAGCAAGCGCCGTGCTCAACAGCATCCCGCCCGGGCCTAGGGCGCCAAACATGCTCAATCAATAAACATGCTTAAATCTAATAAGTCTAATGCGTTTCCTCATGGGTCTCTCCAAGGTGAAATGGAGCTTTCGCGAAAGTTCACCGTGGTAGACCCGGCTGTTGCTGCCAGGCCACAGGCTGCTCTTCCTCGACTCATCAATACCAGCAACGCCCACACCCAGTCAACCAATAACCACCAGGACAGCAAGTTAAAAGCCGGAGACGCCCACTTCCCGATCTTCTGAAGTCTGCAAGCCGCCGCCGCCCCACCTCCTCCTTCTCGCATGAAGCGTGTTGCCTACTGCCTCTGCCGTCACCAGTGCCTAGGCCCCGGGGGGATCATGCACGCGAGCAAGCGCCGTGCTCAACAGCATCCCGCCCGGGCCTAGGGCGCCAAACATGCTCAATCAATAAACATGCTTAAATCTAATAAGTCTAATGCGTTTCCTCATGGGTCTCTCCAAGGTGAAATGGAAAAATATAACAAAGTTAAAATTACAGGCCTCTTGTGTATGTTATATGTTTGTGTATGTTATATGTTTGTGTATGTTATATGTTTGTGTATGTTATATGTTTGTGCGTCATGTCCAATACACTACGTTGACCTTAACAAACTGGACCAATACTAACGTGGGGCGTTGTGAGTGTGTTGTGAGTGTGTTGTGGAGTGAACGAGGAGTGCTGAACGGAATCATGGAATAACAAAAGTTTTCTGTAATGTTTTAATGTGATCATGGAATAATTATTTTTTGTCAACAGCATACGGTGTAAGTACTAGAGATTCAAAGATGACAAGCTTTATTGAACAGGTGTAAAAGTGAGAGTACTCTGGGATGAGTACTCTGAGAAAAGTACTCTGCGGAAAGTACTCTGAGATGAAATACCTCGCTGAAGGTACTGGGAGCCCCTCCCTCTGCTGTTTGTCCGGACAGTGATTCGGTCCAACCGCAGTGAGCGGTCATTGGTTGAAGGACAACTTTGGTTTGTAACTCACATTTAGGGGAGTGTAAAATTAGAAACATACATATTGTTAAGTCTGTATTTGGCTACAGCCTCTGCCCTGATGCCACACACCGTCTGTCAATGCAGTTATGTTTTGCCCAATTGGATTGATTGACAGGCCGCACCATGCGAAGAGAGGAAAGTGGGCGTTTCTTGTGTTCTAATGTTTGTTTTTCAGATGAAAGATAAACTGCACCTGCTTCAGGGATAACACAGTAGTATGGATCATGAGGAAAATGAGCCTCTACTTTGGCACCAAAGCCCACAATATGAATTGAGGACGATCCGGGAGGAACAACTGAAGATGATTGGAACAGTAATCTACACACATATACAGATGCATGTTTTATACTTTGGACCACGACCAACAGAGGGAGTATAGTAATGTTATTGTCATAGGTGGTCATGGTCCTTAACCTTCTAAATCATTAGAAAGAAGTGTAAAACATATATTTACAAGACCAAATACATAATAGAAAAGGGCAGCCTAAAAAAAGCAAAATGGGAAAATTATTAAGTAATTTTCGGAGTTGCCAAAATGAAATAAAATTCTATATTTGTCCCATAGGGGGTCATTCTAAATTTAGTGTTGTGCAAATTCAAAAGGAGAAATAATAGCGCTTATAACATCAAACAGATCTACTCTTTAAGATAATAGATCATATAATAATAAGATAATAATAGAATAGAATGAAATAGTCTGGAGCTATAATGTCATTGGATTCGAGGAGCTATAGGTTGAAGTGTCAGAATAAACAATAGTAATAATAGTTAGACTAGTGAATAATCAAAATAGTTCTATTGTGGAAATAAGTATCAATAAGGTCAAATTGTTCTAATAACTAAAGTAAAAAGGAATCAAATGGAGTCAGATTTTAGATGTTTCTGTTTTCCACATCTGTAGGAACTGGTGCAGAGGTGTTTATAGAGAGTAGTATTAAAATGCAGACATAGAACGACAGGCTTTAACACAATTTTAAATCTAAAAATAGCTCAAATATAACATTGCTCTTGACGCAGCCTCTGAGCTGCTCCATTGGAGAACAGGTTAAATGTTATTGTTTATTACAAACAGCTGATGTATTTACACACATTAAGTTTGGGACAACTCTTTAAACAGTTATAATCAGCGGACAGAAGCCATGAATGTGCTTTTGTTTATTAAATAATTAATTTCATAGCCTTATAATCGTAGAGAACGTTTTAAAATAGTTAAAATCCCTTTCAGGCAACTTGATTTAGATGTATGTCTTTAATATTGGAGAACGACTGTGTTGTTTTTGGAATTGTCTGAAATACAATACATAGAATAATGATTTGCAGAACAAGAACCGGCCAATAAAAAATCGTCTATTGCCAATGCAATTGTTACAATCAGAACTCAAAAATTGGGAATATGCCTTTGCTCAAGCTGCAACCGAGTTTTAGAGTCACAATAGAGTGTAAAATAGATAGATGCTTTCAAAAATAGAGATTATTTTTAGACAGGGCTAATATCAAACGGTAAAAAGACCATTTCCTTCATATTATGTCCAAAAGTATTTACTTCAAAGGTAGATGAAGTTCATTACAGTTTATGCACAGGTTTATTAGATACTGTCAAATTCGCTTGTTTCAAACATAGGTGAATGTTAACAATGCCAAAAGTTAATGAGATAGATTAGAAACAACAGAGATTCAAAAACATTTAAAAGCATTTTAATGTATTTGGGTATAGCACAAAAGTAGATATTTAGGTATTTTTTGAGAATTTTAAGAGCTGTCGACTTGTCAATATGGATTAGAAAATCGAATACCATGGTAGAATAACTGACCCCAAAAACCTGCTAAAATAGATTAGCTCCTGTACGGATAATACCAATTTGATTAACGATGTACATTTATCCCAAACGGTCTGAGAGAAGGAAGTGACAGCACTTCCTGGTTCAACAAAATGTGTTTGGAAAAATGAGCAAAGCCCCACAAAATGGCACAGAGCCACTGATAATGACAGCAAACCACCGTATAGATAGATTTATTAGATAAAAACATATGTTTAAGAATAGGGCTCAATAAAAGCAAAATATGCGAACATATTTGTAAATAGATTAGAATAGTTTAAACTATAGTGAATAGTTTTAGTGCATACATTACAGACGAGGTTGAAGAAGAATCAGAATGACAGCAGTGGTCATCAAAGAGTTTAGTGAAGGAATGTTTCAATGTGGTTGTGTGTTGTTTGTCTTTCTGTATTGGCTCTTCACAGATATCAAGCCTGAACTAAGCACAAGTATGGATGATAAACGACGATGTGGATTGTGACCTAATTTTTAATCAGGTCAAAAGAGGGAAACTGTTGCATAATTAAAAATGTTGTATACTAATGATTTTGAAAATAGGCCCTCTGAAGAATGTGCACGGGGAAAAGCCCCAAGGACAAGGATTGCAAACAGGAATAAAGAGGGTCAAATGGAGAAACTACAATCAGTCATAGAGATACCAACTTTCAAAACGGGACAAATTATTAACTCCAGGAATAAACATTCTTGTCTCTCTGGCGAGGCCAAAAGTCCAAACCACCATCTGGCTAATCTCTCTCAGGCAGACTGGGAGATTCTCCAAAGGCATTCTGACGCCTCCCAGTGGACACGGGACGCCAGCACACCCGAAAAGAACATTCGGGAGACGCCCACAAGTGACGTCATCAGACGTCTTGATAAAACTGTTGGTTTGAGTTCTGGGGGGAAGGTTAGCGCAGGGGAAGAGGAGAGGGACATATTAGTTTTAGGAGCACTTTTTTGTTGAATATTCTGTATCTGATTGTAAAGATAATTAAATGCAGATGTTAAACTTGGAGATCTTTGTCTTACTCTTGCATCAACTTTGTACACGTCCAGTCAAGGGAATTATTGACTTCACAGGACAAATCCTTGAATCACATCCACAGGAATATAAGTCAGAAATATTAAGTTCATGACCACCTGGTTTATCCCCAAAAGCTGAAAAACAAATATAAGCAGTTTTATTCCCACAAATTCCTTGTAACAAGACTCATATCCCTGTTGTTCCATAAAGAACAGGTAACGCGTCAAATTTCTTGGTTGGCGTGTGCTATAATGGTGAAATTGCATATTTATTGTAAACGGGAATAATTCTGTAACTACTATACTGTAATTTTCTAGTATTAGGTTTGATATTGAGAATTCTGTTAATTCCATGGCCCCTGCATTCTACATTGAAATGACTCTTGTGCTGAAACTGCCCACTTGTGAACAACTGAACATATAATTCACCTGCGAAGCATTCAGTGCCTTCCGGTCCCTCAGAAACAGTATGAGCAGAGGAATATTGGCCAAAAGTCCTGTTACCAGTATGAGATGATCAACCACTAACCAGGTCGGACTCAACAGGCTGCTGAAACAAGAGCTATACAAGCTCCCAGGCTCAACACCGTTTGAATCGGGTGTCTTTCCCCCCATCCTGTAAAACAATTAAAACTTTGAATATCCAAAAGTTTAATGCATCTGTTGGTTAAAAGGATATAAATGTCATCCAATTGTATTGCAGTCATTAACTGAAATCCTAACCACTTATCTGATCCCGACTACTGGTTACAAACAATAAAGGTGATGTCTCCATATGATAAAGAAGGCTTTTCCAGGAATATTTCAACTCTCAAAAAGGCCAAATAGTTTATCAAAAACCCATGTGCCGTGATTCCAGAGTTTTTTGACACATTTAGCTTGTTTAGTTCATGAATGAAGCAAATTGCATTCTCTTACCTGGCAGCCCAACAAGATTTAGTCTGATCTAAACTCTGACAAGGACACACTCAACTCAAATGAAGAGGTCAGATTTTCCAGCCAACTTGTTTGCTTTGTCACAACGCATAATTTACATTTGATGTTGAATTTATGTTTGGTGCGCCCAGGACAAAGAATAGCGTTACAAATGGACAACTTTAGGTGATGCAAATCTTTGAGGGGTGTATACTACATCATGGTAACAATATGTAAACACCAAAATTAGATAAACAGAGTAACCTACTGCAGTTTATGTGTTGTTTCGTTTTCACAAAGAGGCTCCCCTTTTGATAAAAAAGATAATTGGTTTGTGAACAAAACTAATTTACTTGAAAATGAAAAGGCATTGCTATTTCATCTAACTATAATTCAATAAATTCCTATATATCATACATCTGTGGACACAGTATGAAATGTTTCAATAATTTGTGCTTCACAGAAAGAACTGTGGTAGTAACAACTAACTGATGTTTTCTAAGCTCCGCTAACTGTAAAGAAAACAACAAAAGACATCATAGAAATACATCTTACGCGGTACATACTGCGTACTTACCATAGATCTGGTACTTAATTACACCATACCAAGAGCCTGTTATGTTAGTAATGTATCCAATCAGCGTGAGCCAAAGGCTGTTGACTGACAGGACGCTCAGCCAATGGGAGTTCAGCATCTGATCAGTTTACACTCGCCCCCTCTCTTGTAAACGCCGTCTGTTTTGGTGAGTAAAAGAAACTTCATTCAATCGATTTCTTGCCTTTCTAAACTCTAAACCTTATAAACAAACGTGCCATTCGACGTGTAATGTGTTAATGTATCAATCTGTGTCACGTTATGGAGCTGACATGGTGTCGTTTCGCTGTAAAAAGCCTGTTTGTCTCGTCGCTCAGTGAGGCTTTGTTGACGTTGTTGATGTTTTGTTGAGAGCCTTTACGCAAGCGTCAAGACACAAGACTACTTCACAGTTTACTTTTTGGACAGACTAGCTCATTTTAATCGTGTTTAGTCTGTTTATGTTCGACATAAAAAGTCATTATATTACTGAACAATTTCCTTGTATAAAATGATCTTGTTTTCGACATTTTGGCTTCAAAATGTTGTAATATTTTTCACTTACTCAAATAAATATAGATATTCAATGATTGTTGATGGTTCTTGGATCGGTTAGAAAGGAATAGCTCAAATATTGAATAGGGTTTTAGCCTTGAATGAATGGGTTCGCCGTGCGCATGCGCAGACTCAAAGTTTATAAACGTGTGTCACATGACGATAAGATTGCGAAATAAGATGAAGGTGCAGTAGTTTCAGTTTGGGGAAAAATAGTTTATCTTGTATTCGGTGAAATTAGTCAGTTTAGTTCAAAGACTATATCTTAATCTATAGGAGTAGTTATTATGTAACGGTCTCCTCAACACGCCCTGGCCATTTATAGCCTAACGCTACATACATTGAAGAGCGTTGGGTTTCCCTGGCTCTGTGGGAGGTTCAGTGTGTTACGTGCGTTTAAAACAGTGTCATAAATTGTTCGGCAACAGCAGCAGCAACAATGATATTTGTAATAACAGTAATATTTGTATCCGTTGTCTAATCAAGTCACATATTCTAATTGGAGCCCATTCTGGACCATGCCAACCTGACCACCATTCAAACTGACATAACGTTTATGACTTTTCAGTGACTGTGTGGATACCATGGTGTGGGAGGTGGTGACTTCCAGTGTAAATAAACACACCATGATGCACGGCACTCAAGGTAAATGTGACTTGCTTTAATTACACATATCATCAGAGCATTGCTCTTCTTACATTGAATATGTCCAGCTGATGTAGGTTTAAGCCCTTATGGACATTAATGCATTGCAAAAAATACTGCAGGCTTATCTGATCCATAGCCCTTTCATTCTCATCCACAATGTGAGCCTCCCCGAGATATCTGATTTTCTCCCACTGAGTTTATCCTTGCTTATGCTGGGCGGTACAAGGACAGTTGTCTTTATCAACATTTGTGGACATTGGTCATTTTCGCCTCATACCAATGGCTCTATGTGATATTTATCATTGCATTTCTTATGTTAACTGTTCGTTTTGTGTTTTGTTCTGTTTGATTCTCTGATCTGTGTTGGCGAATTCAACGGTTTTGTAAAGTCCTCTGAGATAATTACTGTTGTGATTTCAGGCTATACAAAAATAAATTGAATTGAATTGAAATTGTATATGGTGTTCTCTCTTTACTGCTTCAGAGAAGATGGCTGTTGATAAGAACACACAGTCCAATGACCAGTTTCCATGTGATGAGGGATTGACCTGTTCTTCATCAATGCCGACCAGTGACAGCTTCATAGAATATGGTAAGAAATCATCAGGGTAGTCTAACCTACACATGGACAGTGCTAACCCCCTGAACCCCATGAATGAATTGCTCATAGACAAAGTTATGCTCCAACATGATCTGGGTCCTATTGACCTGCATTGAAAGTGAGCTCCTCTTTTAGGATTTAAAAGATCTGGGGTTCAGCGCTCTCTGTATTTCTGGTGTTTATACACTTAATTTGCGGGGGGAAACTCCAGCTTTCCTTAGCAACTGTTTTGGCAACATAACGTTGTGGAAGAAATGCCCATGTAAGGAAATTGCCTCCAGCTTGCTTATATTCACATCGGCCTCTTCAATTTTTACCATGGGCCAGGCTGCTGCTATTATCTTAAGACCTCCACTTATGTTTTCCGTCTTGTTGTTTTCAAATATTACTGGTAGCAATTGTTGGTCCCTTTTAGTGTTCTTTTTTGTCCAAGGACCTAACACCAGTATTCAGTTCAGAGAGCTCGGATTAAACCTGTGAATCTGCCCAGTTTATCTTAGGTTTTTTTGTCTTACTGTCAACGTATGAATGCACATCAGAGCTGTTGTGTCATCTCAGATGACCTGCCGGAGCTGCAGCAGGCCCCTGTGGAGACGCCCCTCGTGTTTCAGATTGAGGCTGGAGTGTCCCACCAACAGCAGACCACTGACCCCGATACTCAGAAACTGACCCAGCTCGCTCTCATTGCCACAGGACCACAGAGCCCCCTGCTGCCGGACAACGCACACTGCAGGTAAATCACCATGGTCCTAACCTGGGGTACAGTAGGGGATTAGCAGAGGGTACTTGAAATTGTTTCAGATTTAAAAACATAATGTAATTTAATAGTCCAATAAGATCTGTGTTCATTTTCTCCCAATGCTGGTTCTGTTGGACAGTTACGATGCAAATACAACAATAATATATAATAATAAATATATCAATACAGTATTAATCTACAATGTAAACAAATGTCAATGATCTGACAGAGTGGAAATATGTGTATAGTTGATGTCCCTATGTTTGAGATAAACAATAAAAGTAAAGTAATCAAGAAATGATAGGTGTATTCTGGAACACATTGATTATAATAGTAAGTAATCTTTATAAAGTAAGTCATCTGTATTCATAAAGCACATTTCACAGACCAAGGTCATCCACAGGGCTTTACAATGTCCTGAGTTAATTTTTATAATTATTTATATAGTATATTTTCCATTCTCTCCACACACAATGATGGCATCAAACACACTGGTGCATCAACACACCATCCATTCACTGACTTACTCATTACATTTATAGCTATTGTACATGTTTTTAGTGGTAGTGGAAACCGGAGCACCCGGAGGAAACCTACGCAGACACAGGGAAAAATTCCACTTCCAGGCCTGGAGGTGGTATTGAGTATTATTGGATTATTGTGAAGAGAAAAAAAAAACGTCCTGTGTGTTTCTGGGATATCCATCCATCCATTTTCTTCCCCTTAATCCATTTCTGGGTTGGGGGGGTGGCAGTCAGAGCTGCACCCAGTACACTTAGCACCAGCCCCTCACTGATCCTCCTGCAGGTGGTGAGTCCACAGGAGCTGAAATCTTTCAGTGGGAGCTTCAAGCAAAGTGGGGTAAGTGTCTTGCCCAAGGACACAACAACAGCAGTCATCAGTGGGAGTCGTGAAGTAGGTCTTGTGGTGGGCTTGAACCCACGACCTTCAGGCCCAAAGGCCAATGCTCTACCAACTGAGCTACTGTCGCCCTTGTACTGTTTCTGGGATAGTACAACAAAAATACCTGGCTTGACATTATCTATATTTGAAATAGTTTGAATCTTCTTTTTCAGGTTTTTGACTTTAATGCTATTTTGCTAAACACTGACACATCTTTGGGTGAAGTATCCATAATGTCCACAAACCTATGTTATCAACTACTCACCGGTTGTTTCTTGATCCATAAATATTGACTTAAATCCACACTCCTTCATTCAATCCCAAAAACATGTCCGTTTCAAACTTTCCATGTACTTGTTATGAGCCTTGCCAATCTGTGTGATCGGTTTTCTACCACATCCATGGTTTAAACACAATAAGAAAACATGTTCTTCTTAACGTTCACCATTGATACTTGTAGTAAACAAAACCCACCATGGAATTCTGCATGTATGTGATTAATTGTCATGCATCTTTCAGCTGCAGTACAGATCATCATTCATATGCTCGACCTCCTCTCGAGTCCCGCTGCAGTTTGTCTCCCTCTAGAGGTTGTGGAAGACAGCGCAGACACAGCAGGGTACTCTTTTAATTTTCATCATAATTATAAAATCCCAAATGACAGATTGTTTTGAATGGTACTAAAGCCAACCCTACTTGAGAATAACCTGATTCACCCAAACACTAACCATGAGGGGAAAACAATCTCTTATTCTTCATATCTGAAAAATTATCTGGAAATCCTAAATTCTGCTTGGGTCTGTGATTGTGTGTCGTCCTCTACTGCAGACGAGCAGTGAGTGTGGGTCTGCGGTGTCGACTCGCTCCTCTCTCTCTGAGGATGAAGACATGGGGTGGAACTTCTCCTGGCCCTCTACCGTCTGGCATTGTTTTATCCAAGGTATTTTCTTTTTGTGGGTGTTCAGACTGAATTAAAATGCACCAGCTTTCCCTGTCTTATGTAGTTTATTGCATTTAAGATGGTAAGTTAGCTGTGAAAAACCTGGAAAGCCATAAAATACACACTGAATGATGACACATCCGCCACACTTTACTTAGTTGTATAGCAATAATGATTGACCAAATACACTGTATAAATGTGTCTTCTTGTCCAAGGTACTCGGTTGCGTTTCCTTAGCAACAGTAAAAATGATTGGCAGGACATTGGCGAATTTATAAGTGACAAACTTTCTGAAGAGGAGGAACTCACATTAAAGGTATTTACAATAGATGATTTATTATACTATACTATATACTAAATTAATATTGTCTTATTCTAATGAGAAGCTCTGCCATTTGTTGGAATTGTAATCTTGGTCAAGAGTCACAGTAAACTCTTGACTTGCCCTCATGTGTATTTTTAAAACTATGCACGATCTAGATTGAATATGACTTTAACCCCAAACTTTGCGATTGAATCTTTCTGTTCAGAGTTACGGCTCAGAGGGACTTCAGCTGATGGAACATTCGGAGACTGTGTCAGGTGACCAGCCTGTGCTTGAACTGACATTTAACCCTGGACCCTTCGGAAACAGTTTTCTGATTGCGCAGTGCCAACTTGATCACCCGTTCTATGTCAAAAACAAAGGTATACGCCAACACAATCTTTTTGATGTTGTCTGTCGTTACATATACGTTCTGAGGCTAGCTCCTTGCTTTCTCAGGCTGGTCCTCATTCCACCCGAGCCTCACTGTGGTGCATTATGGGATACCGTGTTACGAGATGGAGGTGGCAGACGTCTGCTTACCACCGGGACACAGAGATGCTAAGCACATGGATGACTCCCTGGTGTTGGACACTTTCAGGAGGTAAATTATGATACAAGCGGTGGACGTCGCTGGTGTTAAAGAGAGTTGATAATCGCACGGTCGTGGATTACCAAATATGGGGTTACCTATTACTTTCACTGCTATTAGGCCTATTCAACATGACCAAAGTGGTGGTTTGATGCTAACAGAGATTCTGAACTAACAAAAAACGTGCCAAAATAACAACTATACCTAATTACCTTACGATACAAACAAAGAAGCCAAGAAGAGCTTTAATTCCCAATGGCGAAAGTAGAGAAGCCAAACAGTGCTAAGTTAGGGTTGCGTTCTCATTTGGTCTGGTTCTCTTTAACTGGACCACTTCTGGATCTTTTGGAGCCACTATCAAACAAGTTAACATGTGTCCACTAGACAGTTTACAGTTTGTTCCCCAAGTTAACCAGACTTGGTCCATTTAAAGTGAACCAGACAACAACTGTGACCACATCCTAACTTAGCGCCTTAAGAAAGAGTGAAGTGATGTTATGTGTAAAGAAAGTTGAGCTGACTTTTGGTTTATGTTTAGATCGTATCTCAGATATTACTTTCCTAATATACCTTTTTGCATGTCTCCTCCACATGCTACTGTCCATCTGAAATGTCAACTGTAAACTGTGCTAATTTGATATAATATTTGATCTCCCAGTTACTCGTTCACACCTCTGGACTCGTCTGCGGTATACGTGCTCAGCAGTATGGCCCGACGGAGGAGGGAGTCTCAGTCCAGCTCAGACACGGCCTCTCCAGACAGAAAGACAGCACATGGTATATGAAGTGTATCTGATTACACTGTGTTTAACTGTCATCTGAAGACTACACAGCTGTTTCCACAAAAGTTTATTACCATTTCACTGAAACACTATTTTCAAACTGTATAACTCTTTATTTTGTATCCTATTCATGGTGTTGTTTTTGTGGGTAATCGGTGCACACAGGTTTGAAATGGATACATACAAATATGAAAAATAACATGTGCAATTAATTTGACTTCTTTAATATAGTGACCTATTTGCAAAGATGTTACTGCCAATAAAATATATAATAAACTGGGCAAAACTGGGACGCCATTAGTTCGACAAACTATAACTCCATTATAGGAAAACTTTTATTCATTTTTAAGTAAGTAAGTAAGTATTTATATACCGCCTTTCACAGACCAGAGTCACAAAGCGGTTTACAATTGTTATTTTTTGGGCATTTGTCCTCTCCCTCAGCACAGAGATGGGAGCGGGGTCGCCGAAACAGGAGGCGCATGCCAGACCTATTGTACATATTTTTAGTTTAGTTTTAAAACAGTTGACATTTTTTTGTAAACATTTGTTGTGTATTTTTGTGTGACTGCCTTCATTTGCAGTGAGTTAAGTGTCTTGCTCAAGGACACAGCATGAGTATGGTTCCTTAAACATACATATTGTGGTCCTGCAGGCTCACACAGACCCGGCACGTCCCGCTCTCCTCATCACAAACCAATCTCTGACCAAAACCAAGACTCACCAGGAAACAGCGCGGCCACACCCTCCAAGAGCAAGCGGCCGATGAACGCCTTCATGTTGTTCGCTAAAAAGTACAGAGTTCACTACACGCAGATGCATCCCGGAAAAGACAACAGGTGGGCAGTGACCGGTCAAACATCTGTTAATGTTTTCCATTAAACATGCATTATATAGCTAATCAAAATTAACAAAGATAATAGTAACTAAAAAACAAAGACAAATATTTGAATGATGGTGGTGATAGCAATGATGATAATTGTAGTAATAGAAATTATTATATGACTTGGACCGTACGCGCACTCTGATTGGTTGATTTGCGGTCTGATATTTTCCCATCTCGGACCGTTACCATGACAATTGGTCCGAACAGCGTGTATCACATTTGATATCTTTGCAAGATGGCGCCGGTGTGTCTGGTACGCCGCTTGTCTCTGCTGAGTTTTATCTATTTTATTACTGTTTTAACGTTTATTCCAAGGACCATCAACTCACTTCTGGTGTATGAACGTCAGGAGTTGTTAAAAATAAAAGAAACAGTGCAATCATGTGCACTTTACAGTGCTAAAGAGTCGGGTTCCTTTTACCTTTGCGACCTGCCTGACTACCTCCTCCGGGTAAATGCGCCGCTGCCCAGGAAGCGTAAACGCCGAGGAGTACTGTTGTCAGAATTCGCTACGCAGCAGCCCAGTGTGAGCCTCCTTTAGCACTGTGCGAGAAAAAGACGAGCAGTCCACACAGATTCATTTCACACAAGCAAGGTGCCATGGTTTATTTAGGGCGGGGTTAAATAAGGTCCGGCCGTGACGTCATCAATCAATAAACAAATAATGCATTCAGAGCATAACAGAAAATACAATACAATTAACACCCCCACTTGCTCTCAAATGTGTTAGCTTCCTTCACAACAGGAAATACGGAAACAAAAATACACACACTGTCCACACTTTTAACCAAACAAAATGTTAGAGAACTTAAATAGCTTGTGCTGTGATGCTGGTTTTGTCATCACATCTGCCAACATCTCCTCTGTAGGACAATAGTGTAACGTCACTTTACCTTCATTTACAGTCGATCTTACAAAATGATATTTTATGTCAACGTGTTTGCACCTTTGCCTGCTCACTGGGTTTCTAGCTAAAGCAATAGCTCCTTGATTGTCCTCAAAGATTTTTGGTGGTATATCTATGGACATACCAAAACCTTCCAGTAGGTGAGTCAGGTGCAAACATTCCTGGACAGTTGCTGCTAATGCCATATACTCTGCTTCACAAGTAGATAATGCCACAGTCGGCTGCTTTTTGGTTTTCCATGAAATAACAGGCCCCTTTTCTTTAAGACATATACAGTAACCTGTAGTGCTGCGTCTATCAAAGGAATCTGCTGCCCAGTCTGCATCACTGTAGGCACATATACACATATGGTCATTGTCATTATCATTTTTACTGTAACAGAGCTCCTTGTCCATTGTCTCTTTCAAATATCTAAGTACATGTTTAGCGGTCACCCATTGCTCCTCTGTGGGGTTTGTAAAGTATTGAGATAACCTGCTTACAACAAAGCTTAGATCTGGTCTTGTACATGTGGCAAGGTAAATCAGGCTCCCTACTGCCTCTCTGTACTTTTTAACATCACTTAAAACATTAGCATCAACAGAATAGTTGAGTTTCTGTTCACATGGTGTTGTACGAGGTTTACAGTCTTGCATGTTAAACCTGACTAATAACTTTTCCACATATTGTCTTTGAGACATCCTTATGCACTCATTTGATTGTTCAAAATCAATACCCAAGAAATATTTGAGTTTGCCCAAATCTTTCATATTGAACTTGGCTGAAAGCATTTCCTTAACAGTTTTCATTGCCTTTTCATCACTTGTAGCCAAAATTAAGTCATCGACCCAAATTATTATTATGACTTCTTCTTTTACTGTTTTTCTTGTATAAACACAATGATCAGACTCATTTTGGGCAAAGTTATTATCAATCAAATATGAATGCAACATGTGATTCCAATTACGGCCGGATTGTTTCAGTCCGTAAATTGATTTGTCTAATTTGCACACCAACTGTTCATCTGATGTGGATTTGATCTCATATCCCTCTGGCTGCTCAAGATAGAGTTCACAATCTATGGGTGCATGTAGGTAGGCGGTTTTAACGTCCATTTGATGCAAAAGTAAGTTTTCTTGGGCAGCTTTCTGCATTAAAACTCTCACGCTGGTCATATTTGCAGTTGGAGAGAACGTTTCTTCGTAATCCACTCCACGCCTTTGACTATAACCTTTTGCAACATAACGTGCCTTGTACTTGTCCGTACCATCTTCGTTCCTCTTAATGGCGTACACCCACTTGCCCCCCACTGCACACTTGCCTCTGGGTAAGTTGGTCAGGGTGAATGTGTTATTCTCCCTCAATGATAGAATCTCCTCGTCCATGGCTCTGATCCAGCAGTTTGATTCTGGTGAAGTCACCGCTTCCCTGAAAGATTGTGGTACTCCACATGACAGTCTATAACAATAATCAATATTAATTAGCACCTGATCATCACTGTCAAAATCAGAAACATATTCATACAGATAACTCGGCTTTCGTCTGTCTCTGGTTGGATATCTCCTACTGCTGGTCTTACTTGGCTCAGTCTCATTCCTTTCAGGGACTAGATCTTCTGGCTCATCCTCCTGGATGTTCTCAGAGGTCTCAATTGGTTTTGATACAGGTCTTGGTTTAGTTCTGGTCGTTTCATCATCGTCGTCAGATGTTAACACTGTTTGGGTTTGCTGCTCCACAGTTTTCTTTAACACAAACTTCAACAATCTGTTCTTTTGGACCTTTTCACTATTAGGATAATAGACCAAGTAAGCTGGGCTATTTTTGTCATATCCAATGAACACTCCTTTTTCACATCTTGTGTCAAGTTTCTTTTTGTCTTGCTTGTAAGCAAAACACACAGAGCCAAATTTTTGCATTTTGGAAACATCTGGTTTGTTCCCAGTCAGCATAAAGTACGGTGTTTGTTTTGTGCGATTATTAAAACACCGGTTTCTGACTACAGCTGCTGTCTGTACAGCATAAGGCCACAATGATTTTGGCAGGTCACTCTCGACGATCATACACCTGGCCATGTCAAATAATGTCCGCCAGTTCCGCTCTGCTGTGCCGTTCTGGTGTGGAGAATACGGCGCAGAGGTCTCATGTCTAATTCTGTTTTGCTTTAATAATGACTGATACTCTTTTGATGTGAACTCAGTCCCATTATCAGATCTGATACATTTAATCTTCCCATAGGGGGCAGTATCAGCTAGAAACTTCTGTTGCATTTACTGTATCACTCTTTTGTTTAAGAAAATAAACAAAAACTGCACTGGAAAAATCATCAGTGAATGATAGGGCATATCTGTAGCCCTCTTTGGACATGGGATCTACTGGCCCTGCAAGATCTGTATGTACTAACTGTAACACATCTGTGGCACGTGCATCAGCTTCTCTGCTCCTTGTTTGAACAAACTTTCCCTGGATGCACACTTCACATGGTGGAATAGGCTTCTCCATTTTACCTTTAATAGTCATACCTCTAACCACTTTTGGTAGCTTTTGTACGTCTTCATGATTACAGTGTCCAAGTATTTCATGCCATGTCTGTAGATCAAAACACCCATTAAGTGTATCCTTACCTCCTATTGCTGTAGCGAGGTAGTACAGTTTATTTTTCACACTGATTGGAAAAACAGTACCGTCTCTGTGAATGAGGGAGTTCTTCCCCTCCTTGAAGACCATCGTTGCCCCACTAGATGTGGCTGCCTTCACAGAAAAGATGTTCTGTGGGTACGACGGGATGAACAGTGCTCCCCTCAGTGTTGCTGCATGGCGCTGACCACTGCTGTCGATCAGGAACACCTCAGCATCACCCCGCTGCTTGGCCACTCCCTGGCACCTGGTTCCATCTGCGAGCTCCACACAGTGGGTCTCCGATCTGAAGTTCTCATCGAAGCTTCTGAACATCGACTCCTCGGTAATGATGTGGGACGTTGCTCCAGTGTCGACCATCAGTCCCCTCTTGACACGTCCTTCTGGGTGACTCTCCACGTCTTGGGTCAGGAAAGCATAAGCGGTGCTCTCCTCCTCAGCGACTTGTCTTATATTATCTTGTCGGCGCCGTCTGCAGTTTGCGTCCTTGTGTGTGGCACTTTTACAAAAACTGCACCACTGCCTGCGCTGACACGTTCTGGCTTTGTGTCCTTTTGTGCCCCGTCAGAGCGTCGAGCCGCGTTTCCCCGTCAGATACTGTTTCCCCTGCGTCTACTCGCCGCTCCGCCCCGCTCCGCGCCGCTACGCGGCAAATAGTGCGCGTGCTTGTTCAGCACTCGTAACCAGCGTCTACTCGCCGCTCCGCCCCGCTCCGCGCCGCTTCACCCCGCTCCGCACCTCGCACGCGGCAAATAGTGCGCGTGCTTGTTCAGCACTCGTAACCAGCGTCTACTCGCCGCTCCGCCCCGCTCCGCGCCGCTTCACCCCGCTCCGCACCTCGCACGCGGCAAATAGTGCGCGTGCTTGTTCAGCACTCGTAACCAGCGTCTACTCGCCGCTCCGCCCCGCTCCGCGCCGCTCCACCCCGCTCCGCACCTCGCACGCGGCAAATAGTGCGCGTGCTTGTTCAGCACTCGTGGATGGACCCGTCAACATATAACAATATTGTCCAGTATCTATCCATTGGAAGCTACCCCGAAGGCTCTACTAAGAGTCAAAAATATTCTATAAGGCGGCGGGCAGCGGACTTTGCAGTTGATGGTGAGTATATTTTTTTCTTAAAATTTACCGTTGGTCAAAGGCCTCTAGTCTTTCCCTTACCTAATTTATATAGCGATAAGTTATTTCGGGTATGTAGAATTGTTTCGTACCTATTGCATAGCCGTATTTACTTTTTTTTTTAAATTTGGACTACACTGGAATTATCAGCAACCTTACTTAGCCCCGATGATATACCCAATTGAATAATTAGGCTACTTAAAGGTAATTAAACCTGTCGCACTGAACAGTAAAGAAATTAATGACTTTAAAAATCTGTCGGCCCAATGTGGGTTAGAAAATTATGACCCAACACGACATTTATATCAGTTCTGTCTTTCTGTATATAGCAACTGCATCCAAGTAAATATTATTAGCATATTTGAGGATGTTTAGAATAATTACTCTGGCTACTTCTCGGCACAACACTAACCACTTCAGGACGAGTCCCATTCACATACATTCATACTGGAATATTAAAGTTCTTTTTTTTTTTTTTTAAGTTGATGAAGCAATGTGTAGCCTATGCTTTGTTTTCATTTTTATCATCAACTTATTTATATTATTATTTTGACAGATGAAGTATTGTATTACTGCAAGGGAAGCAGTCAATCAAAGAGAAAGGTTGTGACTGCAAAAGAGGAAGCACAACAAATCTTCAGAGAGTTTCATGCCAGTGCTTATGGTGCCCACTGTGGCATAGTTAAAACCAGAGATGCTATAAGCAGACGGTTTTACTGGCCAGGCATGTCCAAAGACATCGACAAGTGGGTAGGTATTTCTTATAAATCAAAGCTCACAAACAGAAACCATGGTATCTTGTACATTATTATAGTATAATATTTGACAGGGTAAATGATGAATGGCTTGCACTTATATAGCGCTTTCCAGTCATACATCTACAACAGCTTTGTGACATTTTATTGAAAAAAATGTGGTTCTTTAGGTCAGTCAATGTGTGGAATGCCAGAAAAGTGCACTGACAATTAAGCAGGAGACAAAACCCATCCCAATTGAAGTAAGTGACACACATTTCAAAACACCACATGAAGGATATTTTATTATTCCTGGTCAAAAGTGCTTTTCTCTATTTTCTTTTCCTTTTTCAGGTGAGTCAACCATTTGAATTGGTTGGGATGGACCTTATAGGCAAGGTTGTGAAAACAGAGGCTGGGAATGAGTATATTGCAGTCATGATTGACTATTTTACTAAATGGTCCGAAGCCTATCCTCTGCCGTCCAAAACAGCAGCAGATGTTGCCCAGTGTATTTTAAAGTTTTTTTATCGCTTTGGGGCCCCAAAGCGAATCCTGACTGACCAGGGCAAAGAATTTGTGAATGAGGTGTGTTTTTAAATACTTTTGAGTGTTATGGACTGGAGTGTGATGCTGTATAAAACAGTTTGGTTTGTCATTTAGTGATCACATTTTTTTCTTGTTGATGTTTATCTGTTAAAGCAATGATTCGTTTTTGACCAACAGTTGAACAAGGAGCTGTGCAAAATGCTGAACATTGAGCGCAGCCTTTGTGCTCCCTATCATCCGCAGACCAATGGGCTGGTAGAAAAGCACAATGGGACGATTCAAAGGTAATTACAATTTCAGAATTTATATGTAATTATTCAAAGGTTTGCGTTTTTTTTAAGTTCAGTGCAGGCATTTCAACATTCTGTCTGAACATTATGCCAGTACAAACTTTGTCCTCTTTGACAATGTGGTAATAATCAGCCTGTGTGCTGGGAGTGACCTAAAGATGTCATCGATCATGTACAGAAACATAGATTGGCTTCCCATAGGTTCCTCTCCAGCAAGTGTTGATGCCATTATTTGCTGTGCTGTTGCAAATTTTCATCTTATCATGGTGTGATCTTGTGCACCCCTGAAGTTAATGGCCAGCTGTAGTGGAATCCCTTTTGTTTGCCCCCTCCCCTTTTTGTGATGATTACGGAATTTGTTATCAATTTCTTTAGGTTGAATACTCCGAGCACTGGCCTAGTAAATTTGTCCACATTGGTATAGTGGCTGGTAGCTTCTTTCAGTAAATTTAGCAAGAACGTGATAAAATTTTGCTTTTCAGAGCACTGTGCAAACTTGTGAGTGAGCGACCAGAAACTTGGGACACGTACTTGGATCCTGTGATGTTTGGGATCAGAACCAAAAAACAGTCAACTACCAAGTTCTCACCATACTTCCTCCTCTTTGGAAGAGAGGCTCGTCTGCCATGTGAGGTTCCAGAGAACATCCTGGTGAGACATGATTTCATCTGTCTTGATTACATTCTACATGAAGAGCCCTGTAGATGTTAAGACATTATTTTAGGTCACGTTTATTCTTGACTCTTCATCAAAATTTTTAGAAATTTAAAATTAACACTGCAGTATCTCTGGTGGTATTTCATCATAATGTAAAACATTACATTACTAATGGACAAGAAAACTGCTATTATAATTAAAATTTTGGTAAACCAAATTTCTGATAATTCACACTTATGTTCCAAGTTCATCCACCTGTTTATAATAAAGTTTCTGAAAATATTTGTGTGGTAGTTATGTTTTCACTTCAGAAAAGACTAATATTTGAGAGTGGACACCTTCTTAAGGTATCTGAAATCTGCATATTTATTTTCTTTTACCCCAGATTGACAGCAAAATTGAGGACACTCTGGGGGAGGAGTCGGTGGTGGAGTCAAATAAAAAAAAGGGATGCAATTTATAAATTAGTTCAGGAAAATATGGAAAAAAATACAAGACCCCAAATCAAAAACCCCAAACTTTCAAGGTTGGGGACAAAGTTCTACGGCTCAACATCAGAAGCCAACAGAGGAAGGGTGGAAAATTGGAAAGAAACTGGACCGGACCATACACCATAGTCAAACTTGTAAATAAAAGTGCAGATTTGCAATCCAAAACCGCTTTTTTCCCAAAAGTCAACACAGATCAGCTTAAGATTTTCATTGAACAACAAAACATTATCCCTCAGAACATTCTAAAAACTGGAAAACCTGCATCCATCCCTCCACCTGTTGAAGAGACAACATTCATCCCTCCACCTGATGTTGTCAGGGTACATAATCTCCCGATATGGCTTGAAGAAAACAGTAAACACACAAGTAAATTGCTGTGACTGGGACTTTCTCACTTTTTAATTTTTGTGATTTTATTTTTAATGTTTTTAATATATCTTGTGCTCTTAATGTGTTTGATTTGATGCATGATGTGATAGGGGATGTGAAGCTCTTTGCGTTGCCTTGTGTAGGAAAGGCGCTCTACAAATAAACGTTGATTGATTGATTGATAAATTCAACTAATGTTTATCTCCAGTAAAACATGTATAAATAAATATAAGACATTTTAACTCAGGACTTTTTACAGTTCTCAGAAATAGATGCATTAATAAATACATCAACAGCACAATATTATTATTATTTGGAAATCCGATTTGTTAGCTGATTATTCGTTCCATTATTTTATTAGTTGGCTGATTATTTTCTTGTTTAACCAATTCGTTTTTTAGATCTTAGTCAGTGAATATTTTTTTTAAATCATTTTTTCCATTATTTTATAAACTGCTTTGTAAACACATTTCAATTTCATTCTGTAGTTATAGAAGAAGAATAAACCATCTTCTTAGCATATTAACATATTTAACTATGTAAGGTTCAAGAAATAAATTCATCAACTACCAAATTCGTTTGCAACTATTTCAATTATAGAGTAGTTGTGATTAATCTATAAACTTGTTGCAGCCCTGTTACAGTTTTTACAGTTTGACTAAAGGAGTTGGTGGCCGAGAGCAAACTATTGCATTCAACCAACACTTACAAACATTTGCGAAATCTTGCCGAGAGATTCAACCTGCAAATAAAATCAGAGGCACTTTGTCCTGGGGTGATACAATTATATAGAAACATTTCACCAAGGTTAATTATGTCTACTTGAATATTTTGTTAAATTAAGAAGAAGGTCCTTTATTCATCCCACAGTGGCCGGGTAAATTTCAGTTTGATGTCACTTACTGAGTGGAGTTTGCATGTTCTCCTCGTGTCTGCTCCGGTTTCCCCTACCACAAAAACATGTACAATAGGTGTTGCGTGCGCCTCCTGTGTGGGAATCTTGCTCCCATCTCTGTGCGGAGAGAGAGACAAATGCCCACAACAATTTGGGACACTGGTCTGTGAAAGGCACTATATATTAAAAACTACTTACTTACTGACTTGTATGACAGCTTGGTCAGTACGCTCATGTCCTCACACGATCCTATAGAGATCAACTTAGACTTTGTGTGTGTTTTCTTATGTCTGATCTTGAAACTTGCTTCTATAATCTTGGTTAAGCTCTTGGTGTAGGGGGTTGACAGTTTCCCCTGGAGCTTTGAAGATTGGGTCATGGAACACGTCTCTTCGGGGAACATTGTCCTCAATATAACATTGGATCAGAGTAGAGTTATATCATCATCTTAAGTCTGACCAACGATACCATCGAGAAAAAAAAAAAAACAATGGATGTAATTTGAGATATGTTAACATTATCGAGCCATATTTTAGTTTTCACTTTACAATAGTTTTACCTCAGCTTTGTCCCTTGCAGCGACCCAGATGTAACATTGAATAATTGATCATCTGTTGGCTCAGTGGTATTTAGCCGTTCCTTCCCGCTGAACATCTCTGGCCTGTTTGATTCAGTCGTTTCACTCATAAGTGCTCCTCTTTTCCCCATAATCCACTTAGCCGCGCTCTGCTGTTGCTGTAGCGGCGCTGGCTATTTTAGAACTGCCACCGCGACGTCGCTCTGGCTTTCATGCAGAGAGCTCGGGGCCCAAAATGGATTCTAGGCATAGTTTCAGGGTTTTCTGGGTGAGTTTTGTGGTTGTCAGTTATGTAAAGAAGTGACCTGTATGAAAGTTTTTGGTTTTATGCGTTTGCAAAGGGGATGAGATTGCTCTAATGATGACTAGAAGACAGGGTTCAGTGGTGTCTGCATCACCAAAGAAGATGGAGAGGAAAGTATAGTGGCATGGCAGCTATAAGACATGTATCTTTTTTATATCTGAATTCTGAATTTGACCCAGAGAAGTGTGAGATTTCATAACACTTTTAAGCAACTTTTGTTAAAGTTAAACTCATCATTCTATCAATGTGCAGAAGCCAGTACTTTTCCCTTGTTGTGTCTATCTGAAGGCCAAGCTACAAGCACACCGTGGCAGCTGCTGATTGGAGGTCTCCATGCCTCCGCTCTGTATAATACACTTGCATTCTCTTGTATCTGTGATCGTGTGCTTTGATCGTGCTGTCTCTACCATCGACAATAAAACATGTCTTCTGTCTGAATTAAAGACGCGATCCCAGACTATGTCATCTTCTTCAGAAGGATGATGACGGACTACAGAACAGAGAATTAGACCCATGACTCCCAAGTGAACCACAGTTAACTTTAATGGGAGTGTGTGGACCATGGATGAAGTTTTGCTCCTATTCGCTCTGGCTCCTGTTGCCTGAAAGTAAACACCTCTAGCTCAGTAACCGTTTGTGTTGCACTTATCTTTCTGCGATTAGAAAATGTGTTTTAGTGCTCTCTAGGATCTTGGATTTTTGTTTTTGTCTTTGTAAATCCAGATACAAACCATAAGGATTGACCGATCAGATGCCACATTTGAGGTTGAAAATCCAGCTTGCCTTAGCAACCTAACTTAGCAACACTATGGTGATGCCAGCACTCGGTCAGTCCACTCCTAATATACTGTACAGTGTATGGTGTGAATGCATTTGGAGGACATCGATGTTGGTTCAGAGTAGGGCTGGGCGATATGGCAAAAAAGTAAAATCTCAATTTTACTTACAGCTTTGGATAATTTAAATTTTTAATCGATTTTCATTAAAGTCACCGAAGACAGACTTTGCCTGTAAAAATATGTTTTGATCTTTCCGCTCAATATTCAAGTTTCAAAACTATTTTTAATTTGTTTCCCCCAATACATATTATAAAAGTCTTGTACAGACTGTGTCCTGTAATTGCAAATATAATTTTTGTGCTGCTGGAACTCTCATAATATCCTTCGTTCGATTTAACAATTTTCACATTTTTCACAAATTCGATTTTTTTCAAAAGCCGATTAATTGCCCAAATTCGATTTATTTCTCAGCCCTAGTTCAGAGTATGGCAGTGTATTATTTATATAATGTATTATATTGTTATTAAAGTGAAAGGGTGTTTGAGAAAGAGTTTGTATGAGCACTACAGTACATTTTGAGGCCATTAAAAACAGGTGCATTACTGTAGGTGCTGGTTCTATCATTTTCTCATTTTTATTGTGCAGGGTCCTAATGTTACCTCCGGCTAAGATCCAGATCCTCTGTGGAGAGTTGTGGGAGCCAATGCTTATGTACAGTTATACTAACGTGGCAAAAAGATCAGTGTTCATATGTCGGTTTTGCAAAGAAATGCACTTGTTTCTCTGCGGTAATACCCCTGCTCTGCCTTTAGAGATGTACACAGACCTACTTACAGTACAACACAAAGCCAAAGAAGATCCGGGTCCACACTGTTCCATGTGAGCTTTTTGTAAAGGGCTTTAGACCTTTACAAACCTAGATGAAGATAACACTTTGTATATAGTCATTGACTTCAATAGATAATTGTTATGGTTAGTTTGTTTGATATAAAAACTATGTCTTCATGGAAAATATGTTTTATTATCTAAAAGGTTTTCTGAACACATAACGTTTTTCTGACTTAAATCCCCATAAATCGATGTGTAGATCGACAGTTGAGCTTAAAATATATGATCCATGGTTTTTATGTTCAATACCGTTCTCGATACTGTGGCTTTTAGTGTCTCGATATGAACCGATATCAAAGAGAATCCTCTAAATTCAGCTGTATTTCAAATAATGTCCATTTCACTGTTATCCTGCAAGTATACTTTGATAGTGAATGTTAAAAACTATATGACATTCTGGTGGCTACATTAATATATCTTGCTTTATTCCATTTTAAATGCACTTACACAGCGCTTTTCCTCAAGAAACCACTCACCCATTCACACACACACACTCCTCACTCATTCATGACATTTTCCCTGTACAAAACACCATTATATGTGTCTGTGTCCGTGTCAATGATACTATCCACTGCCTCTTCTAACCATCCTCTGAAAACTTTATACCAGACAATAAATACTGCGATAATGTTTCCAAGAGGAGGTGGACTGAGGACAGGCGGTTCAGGTTTTGAGAGCCGTGCAGTTCACGAAGGATGTGGTGTGAGCGAGATCGGAAGAGAGAGTTTAAATACCAGCACCAGTGTCCAGTCATGTCTGAAGTTACAGCTCCGGACAAAGGACGCCTGTTTGTGCCGATAGCCACTAACAAAAGATACCATTTACAAGGATTAAGGAACTTCATCTTCATCGCTGACCAGGGAGAAGTTGGACTTTATACAACAATTAATTCAAGGGGTAGACGTAAATGAAGTCTGGATATCTGCTTGAAAGGAGAACAATAGTTATGATTTTGTTTTAGGGGACTTTCAGGGTATTTAAAATAATTCTGTCAATGGTTTCTTCATTCTAATATTGTTATATAAACTCCTGAACCTGTGAGGCATCTAAATACAGCTATATCTCCATTGTTTCAAGTCAAATCAAAAAGTCTGACTTACATGATACAAAAAAGTATCATCAAAAAAAAGTTGTTATGGATTTTACTTGTATTTAGCCTA